TTGCAGAGCGCACAAAAATCTATCTCCATCCCCTTTTTAAAACAGGGTGTAGGCCAGAAGTCATTTAATTATTTCTAGAAGTGTACTGGAGCATCTACATGCTTTGCTTGCATTTGCGAGGCTGCATCAGTAAGTCAGAGACATCCACAGTGCACTAACAGGCAAATAAATGACAGTGGTCATGGGGAAAGCAGAATTGTGCTGGGCCTCAGCTAACATGTACAGAAAATACTTCACCCATGAGACTCTGGCTGCCTGTGCTGTTGCCCGACAGAGGTGAGAGCAACACCCAAGTTCGGCACCTATGCAGGAAGCTGGAATATATCGCATAGGTCTCCGCACCATCCGCAGGGCCAGCCAAAGCCCGGCTCCCTGCGCTGTTGCTGATGCCCAGAACAGGCAGGATGGAGGCAGACATGCTCCCTTGCTCTGTGCTGGTCTTCGCCATAGACGTACGTCTCGGCTCCTGTCTCTTAGCCCTGACGCACCACGTGGTTCTTCCCGTGGGTGAGCCCAGGACAGGTTTCACTGCCATGAGGATTTTGCTGTTTATCAAGTCTGATTTGCAACTCAGTGCCCTTAGCTAAAGCAGTCCATTAAGACATCTGTAATACATGCTCCTTTGCAGGATCTTTCTCTACAAAAACCTTTTAAAGGGAAAAACCGTAAGTGGAAAATGGTATCAGTCACGGGAGCAGTAATTTAAAGTGTCCGTGCCCTGACAGGATCCAGCTGGCACCAAGGGGAGCATGGCATGGGACACATGCGGGGCACAAGGGGGGTTTCAGCCCAGGGAAGAGGCCAGAAGGAAAAGCTATTTCATTTTTATTTGACACTTGAAAATTGAATTAAGACCAATTTAAATTTGATGCATGTGTTAGCTTGTACAAGGCTGTAGGTAAAACCCTCATGCCTTGTAACACCAAATTTATATGCAAAAACCAAAGCAACAACCTTTACTCCAGGTAAGTCTGAAGATAGATGAAAGACCAGTAAGGTATTACACGCAAATTTAGAAGACAGATAGCTTCAGGATAATTTTCTTCTAGTGGAACTAAGAATTACTTTGGTCAGCAGTGAGAAGGGTACTATTAAATAAAAATGTTTGGAAGTTATTCTTTGGCCAAACAGATCCCAGAAGCAATACCCTGGCTCCACTGAAACCAGTGGCTAAACGGTGTTTAACTTCACAGAGCCGTGACTCCAGCTCAGCTATCCAGTCACTAGATTCATTGACAAGTTAATTCCCCCTTATGGTGAATTAACTATAAATTTTAATCAGTATTACAGTGAATAAATTAGTGTCTCTTCTATAAACTCCCCCTTTACAGCTCCTGTAGGCCATAGTTTCA